AAAAAAAAAAAAACCCCAAACCCAAACAAAACAACTATACATGTCCTGTCCTTCATAAGGTTGTCTCAAATGATAAAAAGGTATGATATTACTTAATATTCATAAGTAGATAAGTATTTAGAGGATGAGAATACTTTCATATACTTTTTGTACAGAAGTATACAATGAATGCTTACTAATTTAAGATAAATTGTATATTCAACTTAAAGCAAGAAAGATGAATCAGTGAACATAAATACTCTTCTAAAGCAGTATACAGATAATTACGTATGGGCAGCACCTGTGGCTCAGTGAGTAGGGTGCCGGCCCCATATACCGAGGGTGGTGGGTTCAAACTCAGCCCCAGCCAAACTGCAACAAAAAGCCAGGCATTGTGGCAGGCGCCTACAGTCCCAGCTACTTGGGAGGCTGAGGCAAGAGAATAGTCCAAGCCCAAGAGCTGGAGGTTGCTGTGAGCTGTGATGCCACAGCACTCTACCGAGGGTGACAAAATGAGACTGTCTCTAAAAAAAAAAAAGAATTACATATGACAACTTCCAAATATATCAAAAACAATTTCTGGGGAATGAAATGGGAGTGGCATGGACAGTGTATCTTATTTGGAATCCAAAAGTTTTAAAATGATCCAAGAGAATAAAAAAATCAAACAACCCCTTTTTTTAAAGAGAGACAGGACCTTGCTGTGATACCCAGGCTGGACTTGACATTGTCTCACTATGTCACCCTGGGTAGAGTGCCATCACATCACAGCTCACAGCAACCTCAGACTCTTGGGCTTAAGCTATTCTCTTGCTTCAGTCTCCCAAGTAGATGAGACTACAGGCCCCTGCCACAACGCCTGGCTATTTTTTGTTGTTGTCATTGTTATTTAGCAGGCAGGGGCTGAACCCACCAGCCCCGTGCATGTGGCTGGTGTCCTAACCACTGAGCTACAGTCGCTGAGCCCCAACTCAATTTTTTATTTTTTCTGCAGTTTTTGGCCAGGCTGGGTTTGAACCCACCACCTCTGGCATATGGGGCCAGTGCCCTACTCCTTGAGCCACAGGCACCACCCTCCAACTCAATTTTTTAACAGGAAAAACAAGATCCTACTTTCTCGTCTACTTCCGTTTACAATTAGCGTATTATTCTATGAGCACTCTAGATATTTCCTCTAATAACTCTGCAAGATGCATTTTACAGAAAAGGTGGTTTTTCATCAAAGTACGTGATGTTTTTCAAAATGTTTTCCCTTAGGTTAATTTCAACTCATAGGGATGTAAGAACGATCTGAACAAAAATCCGTTCACTGTGAAGATACCCGGAGGGTTACCACAGGGTTAGCCTATCAAAACTGACAGGAATCCTAATGCAAAATGGTCTTTCTTCTGGAGGATGGATTCCTACCTCCCCAAAGTTTCAACACATCCTTCACTCTCACCTTTCGGAAGTGATTTATTCTAGAACTTCTGCTATCATCTAAAAAGACGTTTTCCACCACAGGAGATTCGGAGCTGGGGAGAGGTATCAAATTTGGTAAGACTAAATTCTAGAGAAGGAAACGAGGTCCTTCTCCCTTGACAGCGCCAGCGGGCACGGCCAGGTGGAGGCGTCAGAGGCGCGCCGTTCAGGGGGAGACGAGAGGACGCTCAAAGCAGATGCCCCCCAGCCTTTCTCCTCTCCCAGGTTTCTCCCCCACAACGCCTCGGAGGGAGACGAAGGATGGGGGAAGGGCTATAACCAGGGCTGAAGGGTGGGAAGCAAAGGACTGACTGCCACCACCTCCGCGCTACTCACCTCAGTTCCCAGGCCCAGCCAGCCGCGCCGGCCCGTCCCCAGCCCGTGGGGATGGGGTGGGGCGCGGGGCCAGCAGGCGGCTCAGGAGGAGCCGAAGCGCCGCCGCCGCCCCGACCCGGAGGCTCTGGAGCCGTCCCCGTGGTCCTCGGTATTCTAGTCCCCGCGGCCGCGCGACGTGATTACGCAATGCAGCTCCAGTACCGCCCCGCTCCCTACTCAGGGTCTGCGTCACGTGAGGAGACGCGCTCACGTGACCCACGTGTGCCCGGGCGCCTGGCCTCCCCACGCTGGTGGGAATCCGCAAAGAAAAAGGTGGGGTAGAGTGGGGTCCGCCGGGGTCGCGGGGGGAAGTGTACAGTTCTCCAGCTCGGTGACTGGCTGAGACTGAGCTTCACCCGAGGCAGGGCAGAGAGGGTTCCAAGGCTTAATATGCTAAGGATATGATTGCAGAAAGTATATTTTACCCGCGAGGTATTGAGGAAGCCTCTGGCATGGAGAAAACCCACAGAAGCTTCCAGTCTCTTCAAGTCCATTGTCCAGAGTGACCTTCGGGCAATCAACGCTGTGGTGAGACTCTGAGCCCCGGAATCCACAGACTGCAGCGTTCTCTGCATCATAATGGGGCCCATCATCACCACTGAGGTGATTTTGTTTCTTTCACTGGAACAATTAAGTGGAAGGAAACTGTGGCCTCTAGAAGTTGGACACTGTGAGGGAAATTGCAAAGAACCTTCCTTCTTGGAGAAGTCCCGAAGTCCTTATCGCCGCTGTTTTCTTCTAATTTTTCACTAGGTCATGGGTTGCTGAGGATTCTGTGAGGGATTTTGCCTCTGATTTTGGCACACTTAGTGGCCAAGAAGGAAAAGAGGTTCATTGGTTTGGCCTATGTGAATGTTCAAACTAACTGTGTTTAGTTATACTGTTTTCCTCTATGGGCATTTGCTTCTTACATAATAAAAATCACAGCCAAGAGGACAGCATTCTTATTTCACATAGCGTTTCCATCTCCCATATGGTATCTTCCTGATCTCTAGTCGCTGATGCACACACATTGTGGAGGGAGTGCAGGATTGGTTTAAATTCTGTCGAGGGCATTTCAGAAATCTTTATCAAAATTGTGAATTTATATCCCTTTGATTTTTAAATAAATCTGTCCTTCACATATACTTATCCATATGTAAAATGATAACGTACAAGGTTGTTTACTGCAGCATTGTTTGTAGATTAGATTGAAAACAACCTTAAATCTCCATTAGTAGGAGAATGATTCAATAAAGTGTAGTATGTGGCTACAATCCTGTACCATGCCTCTGTGAACAGTGTATAGCCTGCTATTTGTGTAAAAAGGCAGAAGATAGGAATATTCATATTTGTTTTTGTATGCATACATGTATTTGGAAATATACAAAATAAAGTTAACAGTGGTTTCTTAGGGGAGAGGAACTGGCTGATTGTAAGACAGGGCAGGAAGGAAGTGTTTTTCCTGTCTATAACTTCTGTTTTTTCAATTTGACATCATGTGAATTAAAAAATACGTGCAATTTGTTTTTTTTAAGAGACAGAGTCTCACTTTGTCACCTTGGGTAGAGTGCTGTGGCATCACAGCTCACAGCAGCCTCCACTCCTGGGCTTAGGCGATTCTCTTGCCTTAGCCTCCTGAGTAGCTGGAACCACAGGCACCCGTCACAACAATTTTTTTTTTGAACCAGGGTCTCAAAAACCTTGTAGAGTGCCTTGGCATCATAGCTCACAGCAACCTCAAATTCTTGGGCTCAGGCGAGTCTCATGCCTCAGCCTCCCAAGTAGCTGAGACTAACGGCGCTGGCTTGGCTATTTTTTTTAAGAGAGGAGGTCTCACCCACAATGCCTAGATTTTTTTTTTTTTTTTTTTTTGCAGTTTTTGGCCAGGGCTGGGTTTGAACCTACCACTCCAGTATATGGGGCTGGCGCCCTACCCCTTTGAGCCACAGGCACCACCCAATAATTCCTTATTTTCTGGATGTAAAGGAGCACTTCAGTGATATTGCCTAATTCATGTCTGCTATAGTAAAGGTTTTTTCCAAATTTGAGAGGGAATTTAATAAAGGAGGCTTTGTTAGAATATGCTTACTCTTTTTTCAGAGAATAAAAGATGGAGAAAAAGTCAACATGAAGAACTACAGTAGATAGTTGACCACCTCCCTACATTGACCACCTCCTTAAGTTGACCTAATTTTCTTTTTTTTTTGAGACAGAGCCTCAAGCTGTCCCCCTGGGTAGAGTGCCGTGGCATTACAGCTCACAGCAACCTCCAGCTCCTGGGCTCAAGCGAGTTTCCTGCCTCAGCCTCCCAAGTAGCTGGGACTACAGGCGCCCGCCACAATGCCCGGCTATTTTTTTTGGTTGCAGCCGTCATTGTTGTTTTGGCGGGTCCAGGCTGGGGATTCGAACCCTCCACCTTAGGTGTACGTGGCTGGCGCCTTAGCCGGTTGAGCTATAGGCACCGAGCCTAGTTGACCTAATTTTCATAGACTGTTGTTCATATCAGTACAGTAGGCCTGGTTCCTTATGTTGACCACCTCCATTTGTTGACCAGTTTGTGACAGCCTCTTGGGTGGCCAACTTCAGGCTTCCGACTTTTCTCTAGGGATATAGCATTAGCTAGCATGTATTGAGTTTTTTTTTTCTTTTTGAGACAGAGTCTCAAGCTGTCACCTTGGGTAGAGTGCTGTGGCATCATAGCTCACAGCAACCTCAAATTCTTGGGCTTAAGCAATTCTCTTGCCTCAGCCTCCCAAGTAGCTGGGACCACAGGCGCCCACCACAACGCCAGGCTTTTTTTGGGTTGCAGTTGTCATTGTTGCTTAGCAGACCTGGGCTGGGCTCGAACTTGCCACCCTAGGTATATGTGGCCAGTGCTCTTGCCGACTAAGTCATGGGCGCCGCCCATGTACTGAGTTTTTAAGTCGTGTGGACACTATCCTTGCCATATAAGAACATTTCTAGTCATTTAGATATCTGACCCAATACTCTTTAACAGCTGATGCTTATCCTTAAGCCTGTTCTGGAAGGTTGGGTCTAGATAAGGTGGTGAATTAATTGGTCAGGCTCTGTGCGTCATCCTGCCTTCATGGTTTGGACACCTGGGGTGATGCTGGGCGTTTATAGCTATTGAAGTGAAAAAAAAAAAAAACCTGGGAATTTGCCTTGGAAGTCTAGTAAACCAGCCAGGCAAAATAACATTGCATTTTTTGCATTGCCAGAATGTGGCAGACATGACAACACATTTCTCCATTACTGAGTGTAATCCAAGCAAAGCCCCAGGAGCCACTGAGGTCATTTGCTGAATTTGCACCCAGTCCAAAGTCACACTGCCAAGGGGTAGCGCCTGCCTCTAACTGGGGACAGCTGATACACAAGTGGAGACTAGACTTCTTCGCTCAAAGGGCTTTGCTGAACCTCCCTTGGATTGTAAAGCAGCCAAGATGCTTTTTGTTATCCTGTCTTAATTATTATTCCTTCATGGGATCAGATTTGCTTCAAGGTCACAGGGGTCCTCAAACTTTTTAAATAGGAGGCCAGTTCACTGTCCCTCAGACTGCTGGAGGGCCGGACTGTGGGCCCCGGGACGAGTAGGCTGCTAAGCAGGACAGGCAGTGGCAGCAAAAACACCTGGCAGGCCGGATAAATGTCCTCGGCAGGCCGCATATGGCCTGCAGGCCGCAGTTTGAGGACGTCTGGTAATGGCTTTCCCAGCTCTGTCTGGGCCCTTCCTGTTTTCCCTTACATACAAGCATTTCCTCTAATAAAGTCTTTGTACATTTATTTTTCATCTTAGCACACGCTTCCCTGAGGGCCAGACTAACACACAGGGTATTCATTTGTACTAATTTGAGTTTAGTGGTGTTCCCTCACATATTTAGGAAGTAACTGAATGGACTGGAAGTGTGCAGATAGAGTAAGGTAATAGAGTTAACTTGCTACTAGTTAGGAGTTAAGTCAAAAGATACTGGAAACAGAAGCAAAAGGAATTTTTTTTTTCTTTTGAGATAGAGTCTCATTATGTCGCCCTTGATAGAGTGCTGTGGCATCACAGCTCACAGCAACCTCAAACTCTTGGGCTTAAGCGATTCTCTTGCCTCAGCCTCCGAAGTAGCTGGGACTACAGGCCCCCGCCCCAATGCCTGGCTATTTTTTGTTCCAGTTGTCATTTGTTGTTTAGCTGTCCCGGGCCAGGTTCAAACCCACCAGCCGTGGTGTATGTGGCCATCACTGTAACCACTGTGCTATGAGCGCCGAGCCAGTAAAAGGAATTTTTTAATGATCTGAAACTTTAGAACATTGGATTTAAGTGAGAATAATCTGGATTCAGTTACTGGTTCTAATTCTATCATTATCAGAAAAATTATTAGTCCATTGGAGGCATCTGAATTTGCAAGCACTAGTATAGATCTGTAGGGAAAGGAAACCTAGAGATCACACCTGATCTATCTCCCATCTGTTTTCTAGATAAGCAGATCCATAGCAGCTGAAAAAACCTAGTGGGTCCTCAAACCTGTTCTGTGCTAGGCACTATGGAACAAGGAAATGACAAAAGCATGGATGAACTATGATTAAAGAAAGGCCAAAAGACTTGGTGCCCATAGCTCAATGGCCAGGGCGCCAGCCGCATACACTGGGGCTGGCGGGTTTGAACCTGGTCAGGGCCTGCTAAACAACGACAACAATAACAACAACAACAAAAAATAGCTGGGCATTGTAGTGGGTACCTGTAGTCCCAGCTACTTGGAGGCTGAAGCAAGAGAGTTGCTTGAGCTTGAGAGTTTGAGGTTGTTGT